GTGTTCTGTGTTTTGACAGCTGTTGACTGATATGGGTATGTCTTTTTTGAGTCGGTACCCGAAGTCCTTTTTTTGGGGGTCCAATTCCTAAAAACGACACCCAACAAGCTTCTGCCACTTCCTCTTGAAGCCAAATGGGGCAGGCAGCCCCTTGACATCCGAACCGCCAAACCAAACCACCAGATAGGGGCAAGGTGAAGAAGGTCTTAGTGCTCCTTTGGCGGAGCTCTGAAGATTCAAGGGAGCTGGTAAGTTTTGTATGCAGCAGGTGCAAGCCAAAGTTACTCTGGTCCATGACAAACAAGTTTCCAAACCAATGAGGTTTCCCTTGGTTTCCTCTTGTGTTTCCCTTGGTTTTCCCGTAGGTTTCTTAGGTTCTCCATAGTTCTCCCTTGATCTTCCCATACTTTTCGCAGGGTCTTCCATGGTTTTCCCGTAGTTTCCCAGTTGTTTTGTTTCCGTAGTTTCCCCTAGTTTTCAGGATTTCCCAAGTTTTTCCCTGGTTTTCCCTGGTTTTCTCTGGTTTTTCTTTGGTTTTCCCGTATTCTCCATGGTTTTCCCTGGTTTTCCCAGGTTTTTCCTGTAGCTTTCCCCGGGGGTCTCCGCGTGGAAAAACCACCCGAGTTTCCCTCGATCCGCGAGGTGGTTCCCCACGGCGCAGATGCCCCACAGCTTGGATCACCGGCAGCGAATCTACAAGCCGCAGCGCCTGAGCCCAGCGGTGGTTTGAGGGTGGATTAGCAGGGCTCCTTAAAAGATCTTCATTTTGCAACCATTTGAAACATGTTGCTTTTTCAACACCAAATTAAAGGGAAACCACAATTTACAAGGCAATGTTCAGGTGTATAATGTAAGGATCCCTGATTAGTTTGGTGATGTTTGGTGCTTGGTTTCGTGGTTTCGTGGTTTCGTGCTTAGTCTTTTCTTTTTCCATTTTTTTGGTGAGTTTTTTGTTTTCTCCACAGGTTGTGAGTTTTCGATTTTTTTCGTGGTGGTGTTCTTTCTCCATACACTGTGAGTTCTTGGGGTTTTGTGATTGTATTTATTTTTTCTGGAATATAATGGTAGTGGCTGTTTCGTCTTTTTGTGAGTTCTTGGTGGTTTGGGGGCATGGTGCTTTTGGCGCTTTTGGTGCTTTGGTGGTTAGTTGGTTCAGTAGTTGGGTTTCCATGTTTGGTTTCCATGTTTGGTTTTGTTGCCTCTTTTTTTCTCCTTCATAAACTGTGAGTTCCTGGTGGTTTAGTGGCTTGGTGCTGGGAACGCAACTAAAAATGGTTGGAACATATGACAACTGGAATTGTTTGCGAGGTCCTGGTGGTTTGCTTTCCAGCGAATCGTCCGGTTCAAGTTATTTTTATTTAGTTGAGTTGCCCCAGTAGGTAACCAGAGACCATGATTGAACACCCAGAGGACCAGGTTACCTAGAGTAGTGGCAACTGGAAGCACTGGGTAAGGCAAGGACCCTCTCTAGCAATGATTGCCTGACTCATAGGAATGGACGCATAGCCAACCACCTATGCGCATAGTAATTCATTTTCTTGGGCAGATCCAAGATGGTTCCTTGATCATGGGGATGGCACCTCCAGCGTTCTCATCCTAGGGCTCTGGCAAACTGGTCCAAACGGCCAAAAGCCTTGAAAAACCTTTGCTCCATAGTTCTCAGTGAATCCCTGGATCAAGGTTTCTTTTTTTGGATTAACGCCGTACATCAGGTACCTCCCAAGTCGTGTTTTGGATTGGTGGTTTGGATTTGGAATTGAAGCTCTGGCTCTTGAGGTCAAATTGGAGACCAGCTCTAAGTGGCAACCGACCAATCCAAATCACCAATTGGAGGCAAGCTGAATACACAATCACACTTTATAGACGTTGTACCAAAGAAAGGGGGGGAGAAGAACCAGTGGAATGAAGCTGGGGATCCGCTTGAAGTTCTTTGGAGTACCCTTTCAGTACTCGTCGTTTTCTTTTTTCTGGGTGGATACACAAACGCCGCATCCACAGCCGTTTTCTCGAAGCTTTCTGTCGGGAATCCCCAACGAGGGTTTTTGGGACCGGGCCGAGCTGAACGCTCGCATCTTTTTTTCTCGTGGGAATGACCCGAGTTCAACCTGGCACTTCATTTGCCAAAGGCACTACTTTGAGCGTGTCCTAAAATAGAAATGGCTGTGGTGGTCAAAACCGTTTTGGCGTCCCATTTTGGTAGGTGAATTCACCACCCAGCCTAGGACCTATTTTAGTGGGGATTGGGATGTTCACGGGGGGTACGGGATTTTGACCCATGGCCAAATACCAAAGAATGGGTAGTTTAACACCACTCCAAGGGGACCCAATGAAGCGCTTCCCCTAACCCATGGGGAGGTACGAGTGGATCATGTCGACCTTGGCGAACCGCTCCACTTGGCCTCTGGATCTGCAAGAGATGATGGAAGGCTTGGAGACCATGCGCTTCTTCTACCCCGGCCAGTTCTGGATGTGAGCTCTGGGAAAGATATTTTTGGATCCTGTTTTGCGGACCAAGGACCAAATCCTGCGGTGCGGTGGTTTAATCTGATCCATACCCACTGACCCACCTGGGAATTGTATGTCGACTGGGAACGAGGCCACCGTTAAGAAAGGAGAAGCTCGGTGCGACGAGCTCAATCCATCGGGTTTCCGGGGACGCCCTCCCCGCGTCGCGGGGGCTCGCCCGAGTCCCAGGGAGTCGAGGCGGGAACGCAGAGCCGGGTGAAACAAAAACTCCCAGGCCGAGAGATCCCGCCTGACACATTTTGGCGGGAAGTCTGGAAAAAGGATGCGGCGGGGGCCAAGGCGCTTTTTGGAAACCAAGGCAACGCCTGTGAATGGAGTTTCCCTTGGCTCATTGGCCCAGGAAAGCGCCAGTCAGGCGGCTAGTGTGGTTTGTGTGAATCCAACGTCCGAATGCTCAAGCTGGGCACTGATCTCGTGTTCCGTGGGCATTCCGCTTGCTTTCTGTGAACCGCTCCTCGGCCCGCATTGGGGAGCACTTGGAGGTCCACCAACCTCTAATGAGGTCACGCTCCTGGTTGTGCCCGGTTTTCACTGAGCTTTATAAATGTTGTGGCCCCTCGCACGGGCTGGCAACTCGGTGGTTCAGACAATTCCGGCCCGAAAGCTTTCTAGAGCGAGTGGGGTAAAGCGAGTGATGGGGAGTGATGGGGTCTTGAAAGGGGAGCCGCCTTGCCGGAGCTGTCCCGTCGCCGGCTCCTTTGTCCATAGGGTGGCCATAGAGGATTAATGTTAACCACGGATTAATAAACCCCTGGTTGATTAATAGAGGGGTGTCCCCTTTTAGGGTTCATCACTTTTGGAGGGAACACCCCCTAATAATGGGACGGGCTTATTAATCCTGGTTCAACATTAGATATGTTCGGATGTTCTTGGCGGGCTTTCCACAACTGGGTCCCGGACCCTTTGGTGGACATGAGAACAGTTCCAGCTCTTAGAATCCATAGCCATGCGGGTGTCAAAAAAGGGAGGACATCCCAAAGATTATGGTTTTCCTTTCAAACCAACCCCCCTAACAAGCAACAAACACAAAGCAAACGCAAACACAAAAGTCAACATCAAAGGACAGACACAAAAACAAAACAATAACAAACACAAAAAACGACAACCAACACAAAAGCAAATATGCGTCACTGCCCTCCCCCCAAAAAAAACACAAACAAAACAAAAAGCAAGAAGAAGAAGAAGAAAAATAAGAAGAAACATAATAATCATAACAACACAAAACTCAGAAACAGACGCAAACACACAACTAAGATAAGAAAACAACTCAACCACAAGAACAACCATCTGGACGAGCGCAAAAAAAAGGAAGAAGAGATAAATAAATCAGCAAGCAAACACAAAAACACAGATTACACAAGCAAGCAACTAAACAGCAAGAAAAACACATCGGGCCGAGCGGAGTCACCAAAGCGAAGACCCAGGCCATGTCCCTGCTCGCCGCCACCCTGCGCCGTGTGCCGAACGCGCGCCGAGCGGCTCCGGCGCTGGTGTCGCGACGTTGCCTGGGAGCCGCCGGGCTGCAGGTGGCGCAGGTGGATTTCACAATAAAACCATGAAAACAAGCCACCACATGGGTGTGTCTTCCTTAAGTTTGGACCCTCAAAATGGCCAGGTTTCCATTGAGTTTCCTTTACCACCACAAGCCCAGGTGAGCCACAATCAAAACCCGGGTAATTAGATGAAGGTTAGCAAGGGACAGTTCCAATAGCTAGTTCTTAATTCTTTACATGGTGGGTCGACCATTTCAAATGCCGGGTTTTGATTGTCACTCATTTTGGGAAATTTGCGCATGCTGCGAATGTCCCGTTTGGTTTTTGCTGGTTGGTTTTCCCCATGTTTAGCCCTAGGAAGCGATCTCATTTATCATTTTTCCTGGGTCCAAACAGGGGCAAGTGAGATACTGTGGATGGACGAAAGCCACTTTGCACCTAGTGTTGACCCTTGATACACCCCTGTTTATTACTATGGGTGTCACTGTTGGAGGGGAACACCCCCCCCTCCCCTCTATTAATAAACTGGGGATTACTGGCTGCCCATTTTATGACGCGAGCTCACCCATCCGGGGGTATACCGAGCGAAAGCGATGATAAAGGTCCTTGACTTGGGGATCCTTTTGTTCAGCTTCTGGAATTATAGTAACAATGGCAGATACTGTGCATGGGCAAAAGCCACTTTGCACCGCCGAAGAAGCACTGGAATGATGACGACCCTGTAAATACTAACAAACAATGGTTTTGCATGGCTTCAAAACGGTGCAGGATTTTATCCATCCACAGCAGGTGTCCTTTTGATCGCTTAGTGTGCTGAGAAGTAGATGGTTTCCACTGTAGCATTTTTCTAGAAGGTCACCTATGGTTTGGAGGCCGGGTGGATCTTTCCCGGAAAAAAACCGGCCGGGCGGGGGCCTTAGAATCCTTCACGCCGACCCCGGACCGCTGGACCTCGACATCTGAAGAAGCATCGACCATTGGTTTCAAGATTGGCGACATAGGTTTGGAGTCGGAGCCTCGCAGCAATTGGGTTCCAGAAATAAATTTCATGGTTGTGGGAAGCCTGATTATAGGATCAGAGACCAGAGCGAAGTATCACAGAAAGGATGAATCTCCAGAACCATGTCCATGAAGCGACGCCAGGGATGTTTTGCTGCCATTGCCTCTGTTTGCGAGGTAACCGCTCGCCGCGTCCAAAACCGCTCGGGGTTGTCTTGAGAGGCAAGCCAAGAATTTCTGCACTCTCGAGTTGTTTTCTTCAGTCCTTTTGAGGTGAAGGTCAGACACCTTTTGAGGGGAGGCCCAGGTTTCGCCCAGCGAAACTCGGCTGGCCCTTCGGAGACACGGACGTGCCACTCCGCCGGTTTGCTGAGGACAGCGTGACGGGCCCTGGCCCCACAGACCCTGCGAACCTCAAGCGGCTCGGATGAGAGGACGAAATCCGTTGCGCGGCTCGGGTGCCTTTTCTCAAGTTGCCAGGTTGCACCTGACAGGTCCCTGCAAAAAATCCCACAAAAGCTTTCGTTGGGAGGAAGGGTAGGAGGGTTATCCCATCATTTACGGGGATTTATCTATCACAAGTGCACCCACTGCTTCGCGCCGGCTAGCTTCAGTTGGGGTTTCGTCCACCACTGGATTTGGCCATCTGCATGTGGTTTCCTCCATTTCCCTTTGTTGGAACCTCCAGCGGCGATCGTTCGAGGCAAACCGGTATTGATCATCAGGGGAAATCCAGTGACTTTCGGAGGTCTCGTTGGCGCCTTTTGGGCACCTCTCGCTTTTTGATACCGTGGCTCCAAAAAGGGGCCCACCCGCCTAACCTCCCCCCCCCCTCGAGCACGGGGTTGCTGCTTTTTTGGGGTTGCTTGCCTGGGGCCTTGTCTCAAAGCCAAAGGGAACCGCGGGAGATGTCGGAGGCGAACACGTTTGGAACTGGTGTTGTTTCTTTTGGTTTCCCTTTAAACCAGCCCGGAAAGGGTGCCTTCAAAAACACGCACCCACACAGCCCACATGCATATATATGGTAGGACCCCCCTCCAATACCAAGGTTTTCCTGCTTTAAAATGTACATGTTGCATGTTTTTTTTGTATAGAAAGTCGCTTGTTTGAGGAAAACCTGGAGTTGAGTTGGGGTCCTGCTAAAGATCAGAACACATGTCTTACTACAAGTGCTTGATCATCGTTATGTGTCATTGGATGAGTATAGATCACATAACTGACTGATTTTTAATTCAGTGTTGGAGTTTATAAACGTCCAAGTCTGGTTTATAAACTCTTGATCGTTGGATTCGGGGGGGGGAGGGGGGGGGGGTTCCGTGGCAACTCTTGAGGGGGGGGGGGGGGGGGGGGGTCCGCAGCAACTCTTGAGGGGGTGGTTGCTAGAACTCTTCCCCCCCCCCCCTCCCCTTCAAGAGTTGCCGGCCCCCCCCCCTCCCCCCTCCCTTCAAGAGTTGCCAGGCAGGGACCCCCCCCCCCCCCCCCTCCCCCTCATCCAACTGCCAGGAGTCCAAGAGTTTAGAGTTTATTAACCAGACTTGGAAGTTTATAAACTAAATTTGCGGGGAATGCTGAGCCTAGACGAATTGAGACCATTTCAATGCACAATTTCAATATGTTTAATAAACAGCTACTGGCTCCGGCAAATTCAAGTCTATCCCATTCCCGTGCTAATAACCACAATGGACTGGTATCTCGAGAGCATCAAAGCGGATCCTGAGCAGATCAATCTAGAATCAGGAGATTTGAACCTGCGAAATATCAAATGTGAATTCCTTTGCAAATAAGATGTTACTTCAAATTGAAGTGACATTTTGAATGGAATGTAGTAAGGCCATAGTTCATGTGAAAATCTATATTCCATTAGAACTTAATTAAGAATCCCTTTCCAAATCGGAGTTAGAGGCAATTATTCAATTGGCCTCTGAACATCATTTCAAATAGGAGCTCATTCCCAAATGTACTTAGATTAAATGTGGCTTAAACAACTGTGGTATTTGTTTTCATGACGAAACCAGTACAACTAGAACTTAGGTTTAAAATAGAGTTTGAAAATGAGCTCCCTTGCAAACATTGCTTTAATTAAATGTCAATTGAAATGTTAAATACAATCTAGTAAGGACAAGGTTTTGCATTGCTATTCATTATTCTTGTTGGTCCGGATTTTCTGTCTGTTTTGTTCTTTTTGGGCCTGTGCAAGTTTCAGAGCTTTCATCTTCTTCAGGTTCTGTTTTTTGGGCTGAGAAGGGGCGTAGGCCCAGGTTCAAACCCCAGTAAAATGTGACGAAGCGGGTGGCCCACTTTGGCATTTCAGAAATGTTGGTTTGGTTCACACAACCATGAAGGCAGGATTTCACCAAACGTGCTCAAATGAGGTTGGGTCAACATACTTGGTATAGCAACCATTTGAGAATCAATTGGACGTGGATTTGGGGGTGTTGCTTGGTGCACAATGTATTGGCCAAATGATTGGTACGGTCATCAGCCCCCCTTACCGATGGCCTCAGGTTCCTGACTGGCATTTTATGGGGCTCAAGCTACAAAAAACAGATTGTGTTGCTTTACTACGTGTGCTCGAAACCAGTGTAAACATAAAAGTTTCCAATCAAAACCATGCTTGAAGCCGAACACAAGCCGTCTTGGACTTATTGCCTTTTTCAATCCTCAAAAGACGAAACACCTGCTACCGTATAGAGGGTGACAAATCATCAACAGCACCTTATGTTGCAGCGCTTTCAGTCTTGTGGAGAAAGAGGAAGTGCAGAGTAGATATGAAGTGAGAATCGCAGGGAAACAGCTTTGTGTCCCAACAGGAATGGTTGTGCTGTCCTGCAACGCTGGTGCAAGAGTTCGGAATACGAATCGCAGCAACGCATAGGCTGGGTTGGAGAACTTGTGACTTGAGCCAAACGTGGCCACCACTTGTATATGTTACAAACATACATGTCGCTGTGGTACTATTCACAAAAACAACAGCAATGAGTTCATAAACTGTCCAATTGGTTGCTGGAAGTCACCTCCTCTACATCTGCCCTGCAATGCATCCATCATTTGCCCCACAAGTCAAATACAAGAAAAAACCTTGGTATTGGGAGGGGGTCTTAGCACATATATATATATATATCTATCTATACATATATATATATATATATATACACATACGTATATGCACAGCATTGTCGAGATTGAACCTGCGTGCGTGAGTATCATGTTTGCAAAAGGCCCACTGCAATGGGGAGTTCACTTGGCAGAAGGAGTGAGCTACCAACTCCGAAGCTGGTAGATCCAACACGCCAATTCTATGGCCAGCCAATTCGGGGCAAACGAGTGCGCGCCAGGAGTAAACGAGTGAAAGCTTTCTTTACGGCTATTTGGTTGGATGTTTGGACTTTAACTTTTACTGGATTTTTCATTGGACCCACATCAAGTTAAGCTGTTTGGAGCGGGGTCAACAGCAACGAAGCTTTACTTGGGGATCCCTGATGTCCAGTACTGGAATTATTGCAGATCCAAAGCAAGAACCCAAGAAAACCACGCACGGCATGGTGATGCCTCCGCTTTTTCGATTGGTCAACTCTTGCTGGGATTGTAAGCGCGACATTGGTTTCCCGTCACAGGCCTTGCTGACAAATCTCTTGATTTATCCTTTGGTTGTATAGGTGTGTCCTTTTTTTTGGCGGACCCCCAGAATGGTGGGTGGTTTTCCATGTGGCTTCCCCGTAAACTGAATTAAAGCCGCTCAAACAAGGGCATCCTCACAAAAGACAGGCCCAGATATGAACATTGAGGTCAATCCTTGGCGTTTTCCGTTCATTCCACCGCGGGTGCAATCCTCAGCAGACCTTTGTAGCCTCCTATGAGATGTGTTGGAACCTTACCCCCAGAAGGAGCTTCTGTCGTGTCTTTGCGTCACGCACAATAGGTGTGCCTTGTTTTGGGGACCCCTTTAGAATGGTGGTTTCTTGTTGGAATTCCTTTAACGCCCCCGAAAAGCAAGTACCAACCGAAAAAGGACGCCCCGATTTTGAAAAACTCCCATGTCGAAAAAGAGAAGCCGGGTTTAAGTCTACTTTGCGGTAGTAAAAATATATCATTGGCGTCCTTTTTAGATTAGTTTGATTAGACGCAGATGGGTTCCACTGGTTTAGATTGGTTTTATGCCATCCATAGGGAAACCCATCTATTTCTCTCCAATTTTGGACACCTGTGATTGGACCCCAAAAACGGGTCACCCATTCGGGGCACCCCTCCAAAACGGGGGCTTTCCTTTTGGTTTCCCTACCCTGTCTGGGTCAGGTGGCTCCCAGCCATCCGCCTAGCCTTTTAGCCTTTTGGCTTTTTAGTGTTCAGTGGTAGTTTCCATTTAACCCCCTAAGCGTCAGACTTTTAGCGGATCCGAAAACGGGCCGCCCGGTTATGAGGATTGCCGTCAGCTTCTTTACCAAGCCGGCCATGTCCTACGGGGAGTTCAAGCAGCAATGCATCTCCTTGAGGCTCGATGCGTGCGTCCGACTGCCGACTGACCGCTCGCGTGTTGGCAGGGGTGACTAGATGTCTGGTTTTAGACATGGCCATGGGGCAGAACCTATGGCGAGCCATTTTGGGGTGGATGGTTACATCCATGTGCCACCTATTTTGAGGTTCACCGGGGGTTCCTAGGTTTTGACCCACGGCCACATCACCATCTTGGCCCATGAAGGGTGAGCGTCCCTTGGCGGGGTTGGCGTTTCTTAGGGGCAAATATAGGGAACCCTGTTCTGTCCTTTCTCCCTTCTCCCTGCAGTTTTTGCTTCTTGGTCTGTCAGGGTGTCCGCCATTTTGCCAGGGAGCCTCCCAAAGTGGCGATCGTTTCCATGGAAACCACCCAGTAGATTGCAACCTGAAAACAGTCCAGTGACCCGAGCCTCTCCTAAGATTTTTTTTGAGAATGACATAGAATCAGGATCAAGCATTGGCTGTGTATCCGAGATGTCGGCCGAATTTGGGTCTGTGTTTGTTGAGTGTACTTTTTGTAGGTTGGTTGGAAGGGAAAGCAACCAGCAAAGGAACGCCAACCATTCTTGGAATAATCTCGAATCATCCCTAATTTGGTGGTTTTGGATTGGTGGTTTGGAGTTGTTCCGAGGGGATTCTCAGCAACCCCTCACAGGTTTACTCAGAACAGATGCAGCTTGGAGATGTCTTTCTTTTTGATGGTACCCTTTTTTTCTTGGTTTTAAAGGACCATCAAAAGGCAGATCACATTTTTCCCGGAAGCATCGCAAAGGAGAGCCAAGTCATTCTCTTCAAACCATAGGCCAAGTTCCCAGAAACTGGGTGGTTTCTATAGCCAGGCCGGGGGAAGAGAATTGGGGAAGCAGCCGAAAACCTTGCTTGAGGTGGGTCAAACAAGCCATGGATTTGGGGTCCTGGATGTTGGTAGGGAAAGCAAAGAGGCGGTCCTTCTCTCTTCAAATTGGGTTGAGCCAACGCGCGGAGTCTTTTTCCGGGGCCTCGGAAGTTGAGGGTGACTTGGTGGCAAGTCCAGCCGTCCGGCTCCTTGGCTTGTTAGATCTCTGGAGTGGGTGTTGCGGTTGGTGTTCCCTTTCACCCACAAGTCAAACCGTTTCGCAGGGGTCAGAAAACGGACCGCCCAGTGGCGAGTGGGTGAAGAGCTGCCCTTCGCAGAGCAGCCAGTCCCGGTCTCCTAGTCTCCCAGTCTCCCAGTCCCAGTCCCCAGCCCAGTCAGCCCAGCCAGCCCAGTCCCTTGGAGGCTCTTCGCCTTTCTGGGCACCTGCGGCTTCTGCGTGCTCGGGCTGATGGTGAACCCTCCGAAGTCCTCCTACTGGCAACAGCGGCCTCGGCGGAACGAAAAACCGGGCGTCGGAGTTCAGAGCCGGCGGTGCCAAGAAGGGAGGGATTTTGGGGTGGGTGCACCCCCGATTTTAGAACCTATTTTAGTGGGGATTGGGAGGTTCTCTGGGGGTACGGGATTTTGACCCACCGCCAAATGGGCTTCGGAGTTCGGAAAAACGGGCGGGAGGGCCGGCGGTTCCGACAAGAGAGGGACATGGGAAGTGTTGACCCATATTAATCAACCCCAGTAAAAAAAAGGGGGGGTGGGGGGCCCTCGGAAGGTGGTCACATCGTTTGTTAAAAGGTGGGTGTTCACCTTCAAAAGTGGTCTGATTCTTCACTAAACCCAGGGACACCCCCTTTGAATTAAGTGGGGTTTATAAGTATGGGGTCAGCATTATTATGAGCGTTCTTCACATGGGGTGACCAGTCGGGAAACCACCAAAAAATATGGCTTTCACCACGTGGAAAGTTACCCATGGTCACAATATCGATCAACCCTCATATGCTACAGTAGGATTTAGAGCTCCAAATGGAGTCCGGCGTTTCCTTTTTGGGTTGTCAAGAGACAAGGGTGAAAGGATAGCAAGCCAAAGATGGTTTGCAGACCCAAGTCTTGTTGGATTAACATTTCTCCCCTTTAGTGATGAACAGCGAAATGAGGCTGTGTTCCTTTGGTTTCCTTTGGCGCAACCCTCAAACAGTACCCTCGACAAGAAGACAACCCACATCCCTTGCTGCACAAACGCAAGAGTCTCAACCGCAAGGCGACTAATGTTAACCCCGGATCAATAAACCCCTGGTTAATTAATAGGGGGTGTCCCCTTTTAGTGGGGATTCATCACTGTTGGAGGGAACACCCCCCTAATAATGGGACGGGCTTATTATTCCGGGGTCAACATTATGTAAAATTCTGTAGGGGCAGTGGCACCTATTTACGATTCGGATGGTCTCTTACCCTGCATCTAGCCGCGTTGGATTGTGGCTCAGGTTTCCCAACGCACGCCACCCGAATTCGGGACAACTAGGTGTATTGAAATCACTATAGTCTTTGCTGCCATTTGCCGAAGAATAGGTTTAGTATTATTATTATTATTATTATTATTATTATTTTTATTATTTAATTATATTCCCTGTTGGTTTTAAAGGCAATCTATCACTGTTGTTTTTTGTTTTTTTGTTAGGAGGCTCAATCAAATGGACGTTTGACATTGAAAAAAACACTGTCTTCCAGCATGGCATATATCCAATGCTTCCTCACAACAACCACTACACCCTTAAAGCTATATGGGCGTTGAGCAATATTCCTGGTCCCCAAATGACCATGGGCAACTTTTCTCATTCTGTGGGTAACACATCTTTTGGGTGGGTTTTCCCCATTGGACATGCCATGTAAAGGACCTTCTGTTCAATCCCCGTATAGGGAACGACATGAGGGGCCACAATTGGCGGCCCCTTTGTTTTTGGCCCAGATGTTTGACTCGGCAGAATAGCAGATTCAGCCTCCGCTTTGTTCGACATGCCAACGCGGGGATGTGCAAGGTGGTTGTTGCAAAGTGGTGTTCAACCATATCCCTTAGTGTCCTGATTAACAAGCCACTCATTTATGTTTAACTGCGCCGGTTGGGGAGAACATCAGCAAACCTCTTGGGGTCAAGGGTATGAGCACCAGACGCGAGGCAGGGTTCGTTTCCCACGGCGATCTCTAATGCGGTTTTCAAGTTATACATCCTGTCAAAGTTGGAAGTCGAACCCACAAAACCGTCTTGGTTTTCCGCCTGGTTTCCTTTGTACCAAGCTGAAAAGGGTAGCCTCAAAGCACCGTGGAACCCTAAGAGGAGTAGGTACATTACGGGGGGTAGTGGAGAGCCCGTTTTCGGGTCCCCGAGACAGTTTTGGTTAGGGAGCCCCCCACCCCCCCAATTCTGGACCATTCGGACTTCCGGACAGGACTCTACCGCCCTCACGCCTTGACTGAGGTACTCCCCGCTGTACGTCATGGGCAGCATCAAGGACTGCTTCCTCGGCTCTGCACCGCCGCTCTTCCTCCCTGCGAAGGAGAGATCGGGTTCTGGCTGCCTTGTTCACGCGCATTTCGCGGTTGGCATCTGCGGGCTGATGTTCCATGATGGAACATCGGCATGGGCCTGTTTTTTTTCGAGGGTTCCCGGCACCCTTTCTTTTTGGTTGGTTTGCAAGGAAACCTTGAAAGGACACCGAACTCCATTTTGGGGGTTCCGATTCCTACTTTGGGACAAACAGAAATTACCCATAAAGCCTCCCTGTCGATACAAAGGAGAACCGTACCCTGTGGATCCCAGGCAACCCACAGGCAGGTAGCATACCGTGGATGGACGAAATCTATTTCGCACCACTTTGAAACCATGAACAACTATTGATTGTTGGTATTTGCAGAACAAATCCACTCATTCCAGGGTTTCTTGGGGGGTGCGTTGCATGGATTTCGCAACCATCCACAGTCTGTTTTTCTGGTTTCTTACCGGGTGGTTCCCTTGGTGTTCCTCCAAAACCCAGGGAACAACTTCATCACTGGAGCGCTTTTGTGGTTGGCCGTTGCTTCGTTCAACTGCTTCCCTGGCCCCACTCGCTCCGCGCGCAGGTGGAGCGCGCTGTGGACGTGCCATTCGTGTGCCAGGTGCCGGTTGATTCGAGTCACGCGCTTACAGGTTGCTCAGTGCTTCGAGGCTCGGGATTCGGGGTTTCAGCTAAACCAAAAGGCAAGACGACCGGAATTGACATGTTCATTTACAGGTAATTTGTTTTTATGGGCATGATGACTTTCAAATCCTCATTTACTTGGGGTTAGAGATTTTCACAGATCATTTACAAGGTGCACACTTATTTGCACGGGGTCCAAAGCCCTAGTTTGACGAACCATACCCCAGCTTGGTTTAGTGGGAAACCCAACGGAATCTATCAGAGAGCGGCACTGATTTTGCCCTGCTTGAGACTTGGGACAAGTACTTTGGATGTTCAAGCTACTTGGTTTCTAACACTGGTGAGTAAGACAAGATATTATGACCCTTGCTATGTGCTGAAACAAATACAGTATTCTATTTTGCCTTGTTTATTTGAAAGGCGCTGTACGCTTCTCGACATATGTTTATTTGTTCCGGGGGAGGACTTGAGCCAATGCTTAGGTTGTACGTAAGCTTTATACTTGGAGATATAACCATTGTGTATAGCCAACCTACTTCGGTTATGATGGTAAGACAAGTTTGGACACAGAACCATGGTCATAGAACCATAGAACAATGGTCTGGCCGTTTGGGGCAGAGCAGGAATTGGCTACCGTAATGACGTTCACTCGCTTGCTGGGTGGCTCATGGGAGTTGAGAAGTCGCAGAACACAAGCACATGTGGGCCCCGCTTTGCAGCTTCGCATCGGGGCCCCATTTTGACGTTTTGTTTGCAGGCCAACATATGGGTTTGTATTTCTGTAGGGAACCCCCCGCCGCAAAAAGAACCCCCAAAAAAACAAACCGACTCATATAACATAATCGATAGTTTTCCTTTTGGTTTCCCTTTAAGCCACCCCGAACAAGGGTACCATCAAAGAAAGACGGACACCATATCCACCGTTGTGGTCGTTGCAGGCCGAACTTCAAAACTCCGAGAATTGTTTTGCCCCTGCTTCTGTTGCTTTCACTTTAAAACCCTCCAAAAATGGGGCGGGGGGGGGGGGGCTAGCCACTCCAAAAACACACAGCAATGGGACGACAGGAAAACACGGACATATCAACTCGGTGGTTCCCAGAGCCATCCGCTTCAAATTCGGCTTGTGGCTATTTCGTTGGTTTGATGCTTGGGTTTCGGTATTTCGCAACCACAAGTTGAACGTCACTTTTGGATCTGAAAACGGAGAGCCCAGCCATCTTTGACCTTTGCTTCCCTAATGCCAACAAAAGGCTTTCTCAATGACCATGCCAACCCAGCCTCACCTAGGTCCCCCAGCTAGGTGCCCTTTTAGACCCATTTTCTGGTTGGGAGGGTTCCCCTACTAAAACAGACTACAGAAAAAAGTTGGTACCCTTATACTAACCTCTCTACTGGAGGGCCTAGTCACCTCGCAGGAGCTGATCACTACACGCCGACTCTTGACCGGTGGCAGCGACAGCGAGGACGGGGTTTCGCGCAGGGCGCAGGGTGCATCCAGAGCAGGTTGCGGGGTCCATGATCTTACCAATTTCTGCTCATAGGTGTCCTTTTAGGGGAAATAGATGGCCCTGGTGGATGATTAAACCACCAGGTAAACCAGGGCCATCTATGTTTCTACCAAAACAACTAAGAAGGACACATGTTTCTGCCAAGTCAAGCTCCTTGAAAAGCAACCGCCATGGGATGGCCTATTTTGGTGCCACAAGCGCGAGTTTCTGTGGCAGGGTCCCTTAAATGATACATTTGGCCCAGTGAAGAAAACCATTCTCAGCTGATTTAGCATCTGGAGGATCCCTTTGGTTTCAGCAGGAGGTTTTTGAAGGTATCCTTTACGGAACCCTGTTCAATGGACACAGAACTGAGTGGTTTAGATACGTCTTCGGATCATCTGATCGGAAAGGGAAACCGCGTTTTGGGCGGGGAGGGAGGGGAGGCAGGGGAGGGGGGGAGGGAGCGCTCCCCCCTCGCCTCCTGCAGCCCCCCATGATAGCAGTTAGAGGAAACCCCTAACACAGATCATGTCCTTAGTATAAGGGGACGACAGATTAATCTGAAGATGACATTCTTTGTGGTTGAGGGGGATCCAGCAATTTGGGGCGGGGGTTCTTTTTACCAGTGCGGCCATTCGGTGAAGTCGAAAGCGTACATTCGCGTGGCTTTGTGCAAATTTCTTTGTTCCCAGTTTTTTGCCGCAATCAATGCGGGTTTCAGGAACACTACAGCCTTCGATAGATGTCCTCAAGCATATCATGTGATGACTGTGCTCTGGCTCTTGCTTAAAGCGAAAAGCACCCCCTCACCTTAAACCCACCATTCCAAGCGACCAACGTGCAGCTGATGGTGAGAATGGCACCCAGACATCACTGGAGACTGCCTTTCAGCATTTGCCATGCCAGGATGACCACTGAGAGCGCTTCTATCGACCGCGAGATAGGTCGCTAGGTCGCTAGGCGCTAGATGTAGCGTCAGCTGCACCCAAGTCGGGCGATTGGTTGAGACAACGGATTTTGGATCGACCTTTTTGGAGGAAGAACCGCTTCAGAAGTCCTGGCTAGAACGAAAAAGCTAGAGAGGAGCAGCTCTTCCAGGGAGAGGGTGGGACATTGGTCGAAATCTTCAAGGGCTTCGGGTTCCTATCCTTCAGGCTCCTACTGCGGATGGACGAAATCCATTTTGCACCACCCAAGGAACCCTAGAATGATGATTCCCCCTGTAAATACCAACAAACAATGGTTTTTCATGGTTTCAAAGTGGTGCGAAATGGATTTCGTCCATCCACAGTAGGACATGTTTCCGGAGTCAGGCTTTAGCCTTTGGTGGATGTGTTTTGTTTTTGGTTGGAGACAAAAAGGACACCCAAACGCCCTTTTTGGGAGTCATCCCTACTTTGAGACCTACCCCGAGCCCGAAGCTGTCGTTTCCCGTCAGGAAAGGCGCCTGGGATTGATGGTTTTAGCTTTTTGGAGGCTCGAGAATTGCCAATCTGGGTTGGTTTGAAGGGAAGCCAACATGAAAACCGAAAATCAGTCTCTTGGGGGTCACCTACTTTGACACACGCCTACATGGCCATGACCTTTGACAGGGAACACAAAACAAAAAAGCCTCAAATGGCGCACAATCAATCCCCGTGATGCCCAGGGTCGCTAAGAAATAAGCCCGGGTGGTATCCCCAAGGGCCTCAGGAATCCTCCTGAAGCCTCCCTGAAAGCGGCCGGACCCATAGCTTTCAGCGGGGGAAGACTCATTGCCACATGGCTCCAATGGGTGACTCGAGGGCTGTTTTTCCTTGCTGTTCTCAACAAAACCAAACCGCGCATGAACGTAGTCGCTCCACGAAGGGTTTGGGAGAGCCGTCAGAAGGCTGTGGCTCAAAGAAGTGGTACCAAAATGGCACCCTGGTAAATGGAACCAAAGACTAAAACCCGCGTAACCCAGCTCTGTAATTTGAGCCATACCCAGAAGGCTCGGTGCCACTTTTCTGGTCACCCGCTTCACCCGCTGCACCTGTGGCCTGTTGGCTCGCTGGGGCCCAGCTCGCAACGTGGCCGAGCTCAGGCGGAGACCGGAACGGGTGGCTTTGATGTGTCTTGTGGGATTTCTCTAAGGCATATTAGAAGGATATTGTTTGGTTGTCAGCCCTTTTTGGGGCATGCCTGTCTAAGGCACAATTTTCACCCCCTGAACGCCAAATTTTCATGAGGGTTCCCTGTCTAGACGTGGATGCGAGGGGATTTTGGTCTTCGCGCCTGGCTCCCCGATACCAGTGAGGAGTTCATTTTGTGCCGCACCACCCACTTTAGTCTATTTTAGCGGGGATTGGGATGTTTGCTGGGGGGTGAGGGGGCTTGTGACCCATGGCCATATCATGCCTCAAAAAATAACATCTTCATCATCTCGGAAAGCAGCAGGCTCCCTCCAAGTCGTTGCTGTGTGCTCTGAAGTGCTTCTCACCAAATCCTTGGCAGTGGCGGTGTTCTTGACTCGATTCTGTTGCAGCTGTTGTATGCAGCGCGCTTACCGGCTGCATGATGTGAGTGGGTCTCTGCAACAAAGCCTTCGCAGTGATGCTTTGCAGTGATTGGCACATCTATATACCTCCTGAGACTTCCTTCCATGTTTAGCATGAGGGACTACTCCTGAGATTCCTGTTCTGATAATGTTTAATTAGTATCGAAGGCTCCCAACTCTTCCTGAGATTCTCTTCTGGGGGCCAGGACAAATACTGGCTGAGACGATGCCACTTTGGGCTAGCCCTAGTTCTTGTAATGTCACCAAGCAATCCCCTGGTTGCTGTTGCCCCTCCCGAAAAGCACGAAAACATGTCTGAAGAGTTTGACTGACGTCATCAAGCAATTTTTCCGCCCGCCAGGAGGGATTCGCATTCCATGGCGGAGGCCGGAACAGCACTCCAACTGTGCCATGTGTCTGAGCCGCGTTGGATGCCCGAGCCATATTGCAAGTAAAAGCAACCACACTTCACCAGAAAACCACGGGAAGGTACGGTAAATTGGGGAGATCCCGTGTTCCCCACCTGCAATTCTTAGGGCATCCACCGTAGCAATCATGGGCTTGCTGCGCAGATAACCCTTGGCGGAGAGGTGATTGTTTCAGTCCCTTGGCACATGGAATTGTAGCTTTGTTGCGTGTGAAGGGGAGCATGATAGGCTCGCAAACACCTACACCGCGCAAAAGCATCGCTGACGGACACAAGCATCGTGCTGTCAAGAATCATTCTGAAACAGCAAAGCAGGGACTGGAATCCCTCACTAAAGTGGCCAGCAGGCGCTGAATCACGTTGCCAAGCTGAAGCACAGAATCGCGCGGGGTTGGCAGCAGCGTAGACCCCCGCTAGCTTTGTATTAGCGCGCCGACCACGGTAGTTCTGCAAAAACCAGGAGTCAGCCGGCCAAACTTTCAGCATGGCAAAGTGGAAGCTCCTGAAACCGCCAAACCACATGTTCCTGGCCACGCAGCATGCTTTTCGCACGCTGCCGGAGCGAAAAGCCGGCTTTCACTGTGGGAGCGTCCGGCACACAACTCAAACATCGAACAACTGCTCCAAATCGGTAGACTTATAGGTCGATCAAAAGGTGCTGCAGGCACGGGCACCCTCAATGTTGACCCAGGATTAATAAACCCGTCCCATTATTAGGGGTTTCCCCCCCAAAAGTGATGAATCCCCACTAAAAGGGAACACACACCCTATTAATCACCAGAGGCTTATTAATCTGGGGTTCACATTAAGGTCTGCCATTATGCAAGAACATGGATCTCGATACTCGCAGCCTGTGGGAGGGTCGCCAAGCCCCAGCCTTGGGTTATGGGATGCATGGAGGGTCTGCATTTGCGTGTAGGGAAGCCTAAGGAAGCAAGCAGGCAGCAGTTAAAATGGATGACACCTGCCTTGAATACTGCTTGATACACCGCCAATCCCATTTTGTACATCACAGGTTCTTTAAAACACCAACCTCAAAAGAAATCTCACTTCAAATGGCCCCCTTCGGTGCTTCAAAGCCTCTGGGGAAATCCGCGCGTGCTTTTAATTGCTTAAAGGATTCGGAGCCCCCGAACGTATGTTTTTTTTCTTCTCTGTTTCTCTTCTTCCTCTGGTTTTTTTTGGGGCATTTTCCTTTTTTTTTTGCTTCTGGTTTTTTCCCTTACCCAGAAACGCCCCAGGGCTCCCAAGCCACGGGACTCCCAGCGCCAGGAATCCAACGAAGGGAACCAGGCGACGCGGGCGCTGGGCGGCATTTTTCGGGGCTTCGATGAGCGGCCGGGCTTTCTGGGGTTCCCTGCCGTTCAGGGTGGCTTTGGGGGTGTTGGGGATGTTTTTTGCTTCAGCCAGACAAAAGTTTATGCTTCCAGACGCTTTCAGGCGCGGATCGAATTAACAAGCGCATTTTGTGCGGCAGGCGTGGGACGGTCAATTATCACCCTGTTCTAAAATTTATAGTAGGATTCCCGGATTCCCAGGTCCAAAATTGATCGCACACCCCCGTAGGTCTCTCCCTGAAGGATTCTAGGGGGAAAGGGTTGTAATCGCTCAGGCCTTCAAGAAGTGCAACTTTTGTCTGGCCAGTGTATTTGGGTTTTTGTGCAGAACCCAATTTTGATGGGCTTGCGGTTTACCAGGTCTTTCTTCTGACTGTGCGCTGGCTCAAAAATGTCTTTTTCGGCGTTTTGGGGGCGTTTCTGCACTGTGACCGAACGGGGTGAAACGACCCAAAGGGGTTGTTCCCTTTTGGGCCGGTGGTTTCCCCTGGACGCTATGGGGTCGATCCCGATTTCTCGGCTCGTGCGGCTTCAGGGAGGGTTCGAAAGGAGCTGGGCTTGTTTTCTGGCCGGCCAAAAGGGGGCTGCGCCATGGGAGGAAAATGTCTGGCAGATGCCTTTTCCGGCTTGAGCAAACGACCGGTTCCTTTAGGGTTGACAGGGATGGTCACCCAACTGGTAAGGATCCTTAACAAGCAGTGCAATGATTCCCATGAAGGGAACAATGACCATGGGCCATATAGGGAGTGGTGACCATGGCACATGTGGAAGGACAGGTACATGTTCGACTGACACGAATGTCGGACTTGTGGATTCTGGATTCACCAGTCGTTGCATTTTGAGGGGGTATGATCCAGTTCGCGAAGGAAGAACTCCTCTGAGTATGGTCATTTGGAAGAATCTGAATGGGTCTGGGTTCCCGCAGTGGCGCTGTGATATCTTGATTTGACTGTCGTGTCGTATGGCCAGGAATCAGCTGGGAAGGCTGGGTTGTATAGCTGGGTTTTCTTCCTCGCGCCAGCAGAAGGCTTCTTTTCGGAGTCGGGGAGGGGATCACTATATTGCAGATTTCTCTTGACGGGGCCATTCCCTGTGCCATGGCCAAAACCCCACTTGGAAGAACACAGCCACTTGGGCGACCCTCTTGGCGGTTGTTTAAGCAAGAAGCCAAGAGTAAGCCAACCGTTTTGGGCCGCAAGGAAAACCAAACAATACCACCAGCATCTTCATTAATAAAAACAAGAACAGCCAAAGCAATGCCTTTCCTGGGCTCTCTGGGAGGTGGCCCCGAACGATGTGGTCGTGGATGAGGTCGGCAGTGGGTCGGAGGTTTCGGACGCGGAGGGCCAAATCTGGGCGACTTGGGTCAAGATGGTTTTCACCCCCCCCCCCCCCATACTGTGGATGGACGAAATCCATTTCGCACCACTTCGAAACCATGGAAAACAATTGTTGGTTGGTATTTACAGGGGAATCATCATTCTAGGGTTTCTTGGGTGGTGCGTTGCATGGATTTCGTGCATCCACAGTATGGCTGCAACCTTGGGGTTTCCCAAGACTGGATACCCCCAAAGCCGGAGGTGGTTTCCCCATTGCCACGCCTTCCTTTTGGTTTTGAAATCCGCCGCCGCCTCGCACGGGTCACCGTTCTGGAGGGTTCCATGGGTCTTCCGGTGAGGTATGCTCCCGTCCACTCACATGGAACCTGACGGATGGCTCCTGAAAAAACCGCTTTCTTTGTAAAGGCCCCCTTTTCTCGTGGGTTCCATGGTGATGGACAGGAGGGT